GGCATGCCAAATTAAGTGGATTACCAAGCGTTTTGACGGATAAGATTCGTTTCAAATTATACAAAAGATATAAAAAACAAACTGGAAATGAGCCATGGCAACTAACAGAAGTACATGAATCAAAACAGAGTGAAGTTATAAATTCGAAGCCAGAAAAAGTGCCTATAACTTTTGACGTCAGACCTGATCCAGAATTAATTATCAAATCCGTCTTAGAGCATCTCCCATACTTGAAATTCCGAAATAGTTTTAGAGGTATTGATAATTATAATTTTGCATTACCTCAGCCGTGGAACTCGTCATGCCCTATTTGCAATGGAAAACATGGGAATTATGGATTACATGGCTCATGGTACTGCGAAAATGGGAATCAGCTCCCTAATGATCCTGAATTAGCGAAGTTCTATTCTCAAGATAAGTTGGAATATTGTCTTACCTGCAACACTTCAAGCAATAAACTCAAGTTCGCGATTATGGCTTAGACCGGAGGAATTATGAAGAAAAAATATTCGTATATTACTTCGTTTCTTTTTCTTCGAATCACGTGGGTGGCTTAGCCGAAAGGATATCGGAATAACCTTTACCGGAGAATGACGTGCAAACATTTTTACTATGATTATATGATTGATTATCTTACGTCATTAATCGGTAGTATAAATTGCGCACGCGTTTATATCTTATTCTTCGCGTTTCCCACTCTTCCTTCTTTTTTTAACAAATTACAGTGATGTCAACCGCCTCAATTATCCGTCGTAAAAAGACAAAACTCGAGAAAAAAAGTCGCGGAGAAACAGGAAGAAAGGTAGAACAAATTCAGGTAGATATAGTGGACAAGCTCCTTTTCCATTGGGTTTCTTTGTGAGATTACTGGAACAATATCTGTTTAGTGGTGCAGTGAAAAGGTTTCATCATATTATAAAGGTAATTCCGCTCGTTCTACATGATTGTTCGGCCCACAGAGGAAATGCAATTTGGAATTTGTGAGATCGCCCAAGGGTGATTCCGTTCAATCATGTGGTCGTTCGGCCCACAAAGAAACATACAACCAATGAAGTTTTTCAAATAAGGTCTGCTGATTCTGTAGGAGGAATCGGCTATGAACCTTCCTTATTTGAAACTTACGTTTGTACATTATGACTATTTAGTGAAGCATTTTCACTAACTTTTTTTTTAACATTTTAAGGAGTTAAACGATAACGATAAAGAAAACCGTAAAAGGCAAAGGACTGATGACCTCCCGGGAAACATTAATTATGATTATTATGTGGACCTAACCGAACTCGACGACAGCCCAATTATTCAAAAGAGTATTAAAAATAAAATTTGTCGTCTTGTGAAGAAGTTTGAGGAAGAAAAGTACGAGCTGATGTTAAAGATATCCGAGCTTAAAGATAATGAAAAATTGAAAACTGTCGAAAGAATAATGAGAAAAAACGAAACTAAGAAACTAAAGATCATTAAAAGGGAGGAGGCCGAAAAGAGAACGATATTGGAAGATAATTTAAAATTTCGATGGGAGACGAAGGAACATCGTCAATCAATGTTACGCCTGGAAAACACTGGTAGTGTAAGGGGTGCGCTGGAGTACGTACGTTCTAAGGTAAAGATTTCAGTGCTCATTTGATGTTTTTTTGCCATCCAGTTTTTCAAATTTTCATCTCCATCTTTCCATGATAGATTTTATTGAATAATAGTTTCCCCACCTTCGAGGAACCTATTGATAAGACGTTATTACGTCTTTCACAGGATCAAAACTTCCTCAGTTACTTACAGAAAATGTGCCATGAAAACCAACTCCGTATTGAAGATATCAGAAGATGCATCGGTGGTTTATACCACACTGCGTCTAAAAATTTCCACGGTCATGGTAAAATTATAATTAATTCTTCATCTTGGTCGGCAAACGAAGTTTTGTCGTTGGGCGTGATTTTTGAATACTTCAAAATTGAGTGGTCTTATCATAATGCGGATGGCGTATTAGACGTTTTTCCCTATAAAATATTACCCTTGTAAAAAATTAGTAGTTTTATTTTATACTTTTTCAGTTGTGGTCAGGAGTGGAGCGTAAATCATTTACTAGCAATGAACAAATTTAGAAGGTGATACAGAACACATCTATCTAATTAAAAAAAATCTGTAACATTTAAAGTAACTGAATAAATAATTATGTATTAAATGAGCGGGTTGCATACAAATATATGTTTTTTTTCGAATCACGTGGGTGACTGATCACAAGTAGGGATGGGAAATTAACGGTTAATTAAGATTTGGTTAATTAACCGTAATATAAATTTTAATATAAGATTTTATATAAAAAAAAATATTTTTAATTTTTTATTTATCGTTA